CATCATATCCCTGGCCAAACAACGTGTCACCGCATTAGTTAGGTCCCCCCAGCGTTTGCTACCTTTTTCATAAGGTGCGCCATTATTTAAAGTTACGCCGATTGTTTGCTGAGTGTGTTTCTTTGGTCTCACCACATCATCAGTTGATGCAGACGCCTCCTCGCGTGCTTTTACAGCTTTGTTGTACTCCAGTAAGTGCTTTTGCTTCAAATGGTGAAACAGGTTCGTGGTGTTTCCTCCCTTCGCCACGACGGACCGCTTGCATATTTTGCAAAAAATAGTGTTCTGCCGTGTATCCGACGGGCGAAAACCAAACCAGCTCCACACCACGGATGTTGCACCTTTTTTGCAAACCAATTCTGGTTCACTTGTGTCAGTCAATGTTTCGCTTGTGCATGCCGCCTCCTCGGTCGCCGCCATGCTTCTCACTCCTGCATGAAAACATTGGTACTGCGCACGCGCGTTAAGACCAAGTTCTATCGCGATATGTCAAATTCATATCGTACCATAACATTACACCGGTATTACCTTGAAAGGTATGATATGACCCAGCCCTAAGACCCATAACTCATAGTTTTGCGTTTTGTATGAACAAACAATGCGGCCATGAAACATATTTTGCTGTGGCCAAACAAACTGTCCAATTGATTTATATGATAAATATGTTCATCTGATTGGTCTGAAGTCAGTGCTTGGTGTTTCCACATTCACAGTGGAGCGTGTTTGTGTTTAGTGCTTACAGCACAGAGAGAGATGAAGAGTGAACAGGACTTCAGCAGCAAAACAGCCTTTTCTAGATGGAAATATTGGCACTATTTCAAACTCACTGAGGTTAAAGGTAAAAATGCGCACGTCGGGTGCACATTATGTTCCAGAACAAAACGAAAAAGTATCGCAATAGTTACTTTTACTGGTAACTAGTTACTTTTATAGTGGAGTAACTCCGTTAGTAACTCAGTTACTTTTTGGGAGAAGTAACTAGTAACTATAACTAGTTTTGGTCCCGTGTTCAGGCCCAAAAATCCAACCCAATTAATCCCTTTTTGATGGTGAATGCAACCACGTCTAAGCTTTGGGGTCCAACACACCGCCATATCTCTCCGACCACCGACCATGCACGCACCAGACTCATTCTAAGCAATGTGGGTGAAGTGTCTTGCCTACAGACACAACAACAGTCCCCTCACTGTGGCACCTATTGTTCCCTAGGGTCTCACGTCACAGTGTGAACCAGGGACTGTCCTGCTTAGCTTCGTAGATCTGATGGGATGAGGCTTTCACATGCAGGTGGTGCCACAATAACCATTGAATAAAGCTGTATCCTTGATTATTTCAGTCAAATCAAATGTTCTGATTAAACTAGCTGAACGTTTTTTGTAGAATTTGTTGCATTTTTAGTTTCTTGTTTTCATCTGCCCGTTTCATTTCACCACTGTGGAACAAGTAAAGGATCTCTTAATCTTAATAATGTCCTATAAAGTAAATGCATCTTGGTTGTAACTATAGCAAACCTCAATATCTTGGATCTTGTCCAAATACACTCATGTACAGTATGTGAAGTGTTCTAAGGGGATGACATTGCTTTATTAAGTAATAAAACAATTATTTTAAGTAAGTTAAAGTTAAATCTGTGTAATTAGTTCCTTGCTCTCAGAACAGTTTGATTTGATCACTAATTACACACACACACGTGTCTCTGGCCTCTGTCTCATCTTTAGATCAGATTTTTCTATTATGATTAAGACAGCACAGTGTCATCCAATTTGTGTAATTGAACTGTACTTCTATACCTGTTGGGACAAATGTAATGTTCTATGAAGTTATGTTAGTAACCTCAGCTTAAAAATGCATAGTTGACAAATGCGCTGTCCATGGTGCTGAAACAATCCCCCCTACGGAAAGTGAAGGCCAGTTACTTTTCAGATGTTTATGATGGAGAGACATTTTTAGAACACAAGCTCCAGTTTGACCCGCCCCCACAGCTTCCTGATTGGACTATTAATTAAAATCCTTGATGGACAGATGAGACCCTCATTATTGGTTTAACTATTCTCTCAAATATTAGTGGTGGGGAGGAACTACTTTCAACACATTATTCACGAAAAATACTTTATATGTATCAATGCTTTGATTTGAATAATACTACGGGGTCTTATGGTCAAACATTTTCATTCCTATAAAAATGAAATACATTTGAATTTGAAGAGAAGTTTCCCAGGAAGGAATTTGCACTCGTAATATTTTAGCCAAACTGTCACATTATGTCAAAAATAGCTTGTGATGTTTCAGAGAGAACCTGTATACAGCTGTCACGGACTACTTCCACCGCTCTGTTTGTTGGCACACGCACGGCTGATATTGTGCATTCTGCTCTTTAATTGGGATCCCTAAGAGACGCTGTCCGTGGTCTCAGCAAAACACCCAACTTCTATCAGGCCGCCTGAGCTAAGTCCAGTAACCAATTACCCAGCCGTGCCCCAGCGGACCAGCTGCGATTCGGACTATGTTTCCTCCTGCTGCTGCATTATAAATGTGCTGGAGTCTGCAGTCATTTCCCTAATATTAAGTTATTGTGCAGAACCACGTCGATTCCCAAAACCCCAGGAGGATCCTAAACTGCACATCGCTCTAAATAAATAGTGGAGGACGTCGGGGAAACTAATTTTCTCGTTTATATGAAACAGTTTTGTCTCTCATAGAGAATGTTGTACTGTGCTATAAGGCTGAGAATACCTCAAAGAGCATTGGGTGGTTTTAGGGCATTTTAGGTGTTTTGCATTGTGGGTAATAACCGCATTACCTGTTGAGAAATGTTAAAGGAGACATTTAACAAGGGCATAAAAATGTTTGAAATTTTACAATGTTGTTTGCACATCAAAAGCAAACCTAGAGTTGTGTGTAGATCCATCCACGCTAATATCAGGTTATGGTAAAGTGTATTTATCCCTGTAGGACACTTTGTTTTCTGCATTTGACCCATCCTGTAATGACCCTTCTCCACATGTTGATGCTCAGGTTGGTCAGGACATCCAGAGCTGGAGGATGTTACATGTTACCAGTGGTAGGGAAACTTACGCAGAGATGAGGAGAACAAGCAAACTCTACTCAAACACTCAGTACTGTAAATGTATGACATCACACTCAGAGCAGTTTGCAGTGTCCGTTATTTAGTTTTGGCAATTTCTCCAGTGAAATTAAGTTATTTCCAATCACATGTCTGTGTTTGCAGTCGGTGGGTTTCAAATTTGGAAAGATAACACAAACAAATTCCCCACTGATTGCTGATAGAATTGTTCACCCTCGATACCTATTATTATTCAATTTTATTTCACATTATTAATCAAGAAATGACAAAGTAAATAGTCTCAATATAATTCTTAATGGCCAAAAGTAATGTGTAATATTTCTTCTTTCAGGCATTACATAACTTTTGTGTTTGCGTCATAGAGATATTTTAGCTTTGTTACATATTCAGACTTAACCATTTGTCTCTACACGATGTCTCATTGTGGGTCAGGGCCAAATAAAAAAAGTGTAAAAAAGGAGAGCTATAGTTGGGGGCCAGAACCCAAGACTTTGATTAAAAGCTGCTTTAAAATCTTGATTTAAAACAGTTTGGTCGCAGTGTCAAGTTCATCACTTCATAAAATAGTATTATACCAGAAACTTTGCCAATTTGACTCAATATTTATTATTAGTTTATTTCAATTTATTCAATGATTGCAATTATTTAAAAAAGTAAAAAGATGTTATTCACAATGCACTTTAAAACAAGATTGCAGATAAATACTAAACCAAAGAGAACTCTTGTCACTGTTGAGTCTGATGTCACTGATTGGATGTGGCAGGTAAAGGTTTTCAAACAGGTAAGATAACATAGACTTCATTGATCTCACAACGGATAAATGTACATGTCACATTTGGACATAGGATCACTCAGGCGGACCAAAGACAGAAAATGTGCAAACAGGGAATGTGCAAGATGTTAAATGATGTTAAAGTGAAATTTAAAAGACTCTGTAAGTTACAAGCACTGCTCCTCTATTTGTCTAGAAAGATCTTAGTAAGTGTCTGTGTAAAAGTGTAAAACAGAAGTGTAAAACATGTCATGGCATTTTTATGATTACCTTTTCCTTTTTACAATATGTGAATAAAAGAAAAGGAACCTTTGAACCACCTCAAAGCAGTGCAGAAAACATTGCATTTATTTCACTGTGGAGCCAGTGCAATGCGTGGGTGTGCGCGAGTGAGGGAGGAAGAGGTGTGAGAGGCATTGTAACTTTACAACCTCAAGGCCATTTACATTCAGCCTGCCTTATGACAACTGACGAGCTGTTTGCGCCTCTGTCTGTAGAACATAGACTGTAGCATCTAAAGCTTAGCAACAAGATGCCATTTGAGGCAAGCTTTGTCAAAGACAAGAGACACACTTTTACATATGAGACCAATCAGAACTTCTTTCGTAAAAAAAAACAACAACAAAAAACAGACAGGCATGTAAATTAAAACCCTGTCCAGCTTTTTCCCTTTTGCATATTAAAAGTGTGCCTTGTGCCCACGGGTTGTAAAGGTTACACCCAGATACGTGTGTTCATAAACCCTTTTGGAAGCTACAGCTCGCTTTTAATGTAAATGTGAGGTTTACTTATGTATTCGCCTTTGATTGGAGACTTACACGGTGTCTCTGTGGTACAGAAGAAAGAGAGAAAGTGCACAGCCTGCCCCGCACTTCTCCTGCTTCTCTTTCTTGGTGATATATGCGCTGTGTTTTCAACACCTCTCTCTCTATAGTACGCTGAAAAAGCCCTGGAGAGACGCAGCTCAATCTCGCCCTGACTGACAGCTGTAGCGTCATCACTGCGCTCTGGATAAAGCCCGTGTTTGCCAATGCGCACATGCAAAGGCCGTGGGGAGAAGGATGGACAGACAAGTGCGTCGAGGATATCCTTAATACAAGATGTTTCTAGTTTAATGTGTTGTATGACACTGCTACTGTCGCCATGACCACGTTTGACTTTTCCGACATCGAAGCCTTTTTGGACATGCACCCAGATCTTTTTGAGGAGTATTTGGTGCGTAAAGCAAAATGCGAACAGGTGAGCCGCTGGCTGAAGGACCATCCGCAGTCCACAAAGGCGTCTTCAGCTGAAGACAAACGTGGTCCTGCCCGGGAGCCTCTGTGGTCCGCCAACCCGGACGGACTCCGGCGCAGATCGTCCCACATGGAGCTACGAAGAAACTTCGCTCGCTCCAAAGCCACCACCGCGCACAGAACCTACGACGAGCACGTCAGCCTGAGCGAGCATGAGTCCCAGTCCAGCATGAGGCGCAGGGCACTTCTGCGTAAAGCCAGCTCTCTGCCTCCGACCACCGCGCACATCCTGAGCGCGCTACTGGAGTCCAGAGTCAACGTGCCCCAGTACGCGTCCAGCGCCATAGACTACAAGTACAGGCTGAGGGAGACCAACGAGCGCGAGTTCTTCCTGGAGCTAGTCAAAGACATCTCCAACGACCTGGACCTCACAAACCTCAGCTACAAAATCCTCATTAACGTGTGCATCCTGGTGGACGCGGACAGGTGCTCGCTGTTCCTGGTGGAAGGTCCTCCGCACAAGAGGACGCTCGTGTCCAAGTTTTTTGATGTTCATTCTGGCACCACAGTGCGCCCCTCCTCCAGCACTCTGGACTCCAGCGAGGTGCAGGTGGCGTGGGGAAAGGGGATCATCGGATACGTAGCAGAACATGGGGAAACTGTGAACATCCCAAACGCATATGAGGTAAAGCCCTCACAAGTTCATGCAAATGGAGTGAACAGTCACTTTAGGTGTGTACTTGAGCAAGACACATCCACCATGTCCACGAGGAATAGGTTAGAGATAGTGGTGTGAGTGAGACTCACTGCAAAATCCATATGGTTTTCTTTGATGAGAATATTTTAATGCCCATTTTAAAATGGCTTAATGTTTGTGCTGTATTTGTCTGTACTTTGTAGAAGGCTCTGAAGTGAACCGTTCTTTCTTTCCACAGGGAAATAACAAACTCCTTAATGAACAACTTCCAAAGATCTGTAAATAAATAACATGCCCCCATTAGCATATCCCCGTGCAGTTATAGAGAAGAAAGCAATTATTATGATCCGGCTCTCTACCATATCTCTTCTTATACATCCAGTTGCACTGTACATCATTATCTCGTGGCTCTGGGCTGGGAGGAGGAAAGTGATGCTGTTGATCCCCCTGAGGATGATGCAGCACTGGGATGTGTGTCAGCAGGGTGCACAGCGAGCACGTTATGGTTGAAACACAACGCCTCATTTCAACCGTCACATAGTTCATGGACATTCAATTACATTCAATTTAATTCAATGTATTCTTGTATAGCCCTTAATCACAACAGTAGTTATCTCAGAAGGCTTAAAGGACAACTCACCCACTTTTTTTGTGTGCTGGTAAACGGTATAAATGAGGATCCAATAGTGTTGTCCACATATCCTGGTTATGATTTTGTCACTTTAGTGCAAATTAGTTGAAAGATCAACTTTCTGCCTAAAACCGTCTGTGAGGCGACATCTGCAGGCGACCTGTATTTACTACATTTGAATTTTGAATCTGGTGCCAACATTGGCGCAGCAGTGATACCTGACGTCTGCAGTGATACCTGACGTCTGCAGTGAAGGCTGACGTCTGCAGTGATACCTGACGTCAGTTGGCCCAGTCAACGGCCCAGTCTCGTTCACGCCCCCCTTGCGAAGGAAGGAAGGAATGGCAGAGAGTATTTTCATTGATTGTCAAGTTTGCGATTAGTTATAGCATTTAGGTAGGTTGTTATTAGCATAGCTGTTTGTATTATTGATAAATGTGTAGTGTTAATAGCGTTGTTGTTGAATATTGAAGTTTTTGTCACTATTGGTTTTATTTTCAAGTGTCAATCACAGTCTAGACCCGCCCAACATTCACCCCCCCCGCCTGTCCACTTTAGCCCTCCAGGCTACGCCCATTTGGAGGGAGATTTGAACAGGTCAGAGAATCAAACAGTTCAAACACAAAAAATATAGAACACATTTGTATTGTCCATAGAATGAATGTTGATAAATGTCCTGGATCATCACCACAGTCCTTCTTGTTAGACACTAACAGTCCAACAGACCCTCCTGCATCGGCAAGGAAAAACTCTAAAACCACGTGGGACCTCACTGTGACACTGTCACCAGGGTTCATCTCTTATACTAACTATAATGTATTGAATCTCTATTTACTTTAGAAGGGTGCAGTCAAGTAGTTCATAAGCTTCACTCCAGGCATGTCCAAACTCAGGCCTGGGGGCCAATTGCGGCCCTCAGTGTTATTTTACTGTATATGGCCCTCTTCCATGCTAACCCAAAGTAGTCTTTGAGATAATAAACACAAGTTCACAGTGTCATCCATCCAGCTTCAGCTCAGTCAATATAGACACGTCGTAACTTGTTCTAAAGCCCAGTATGTCTGGAATTCAGTGGTCACCCTGTGAGCTGGTGAGATGGTAAACATTTCCAACTTGATTTCATTCTCGCATCGTTGCAATATCCTTATCTTATACCAGAATGTGCAATATACAGCTGCCAATATACAGTTGTAAACATACTGCAGCTAATGTACAGGTGTAAACATACTGCCGCTAATGTACAGTTGTAAACATACTGCCGCTAATGTACAGATGTAAACATACTGCCGCTAATGTACAGTTGTAAACATACTGCCGCTAATGTACAGATGTAAACATACTGCTGCTAATGTACAGTTGTAAACATACTGCCGCTAATGTTCAGATGCTAACATATAACTACACTTTACTTGCACCAGAATACACAGTACTTTATACTTGCCTCTTATTTTGCCAAATGTTAAATTTTTACATCTATTATTATTTTCAAGATAGAGATTTTCTACTTATTATAGATGCTAGAGTTAGAGTTTTTGTTTTATTTTAATTAGTACAGCTATTGTTCACTTAACGTGTGCCGTGTGCTCCTCTTTCCTACTGTTCTATAACTTGTGATGCAACACCAAAATTTCCCCACTGTGGGAAAATAAAGGATCTCTTCATCTTAATCTTAATATTAATCTTAAATATTGATCTTAATCTTAATCATTTGTCATTCAGCCAACTTCAACTCATTGTTAGATCATTTTAAAGCTCAGTACACGGCACACTGGCCCGTTGCCAGTCGAGACAGTTTTTCAGTCCGTGACATTGGCCCTTGTATTAGTCTGGTGAACTAAAGTGGCCCTCTTACTAAAATGTTTGGACACCCCTGCCTTACTCAGTCTCATAACTTTTGCAGGACCACCGCTTCAGTGATGAGATCGATAAGTTGACCGGCTACAAAACACAGTCCATTCTGTGTATGGCTATCTGCAGCAGTGACGGGGAAGTCATCGGTGTGGTACAGGCCATCAACAAAAACCCCATCGGAACCCCCTTCACAGAAGATGATGAAAAGGTGAGCTCCAATATCATCCAATCGGTTCCAGGCTGAACTTTATTGCTTGCGTTTAGTGTTATTGTTGCTGCTTTGACCATTAGGTGCATTCACAGACCAAGGATGAAATTGGATTCTGTTTTCCCCCTTGCAAAAGCCCAGTCTTACTCCACATGTGAGCTTGCAGTACAAATGTAGTTTGTACTTTGAATAATGAGGAAGAATAAAAGTGGTCTCTAAACGAGCAATACTCTATCTATATCTGTGTAATTATACAACACGACTCATACACATGAACAAACATACATACACATACACCTCACAATGTAATATCAGGTTCATGGTTCAAGGTGACTTTATTTGTACCCATGGGTAGATTATTTTTGCAGTTAAAAAGAGAGAGACTTGGCATCTACATAAAAATATTCATAACAATCAGATTTGGTGAAGAAGGGAAAAAGAAGGTAAAAGTGGTCAAAAGGTGCTTAGTCAGGTTTCTATTCGATTCTATTCGTCAAGTAATGGTGTCTCTTCATGGTGTCTCTTCATGGTGAGGAGATACCAAGCCCAGGCGATCCAAGATGGCGCCCTTTTCAAATCAATGGCTTGTGCACAGTAGCGCATTGTTCTGTGGCCTAAATAAAATAAAAATCAGATGCAAAAGACTGGCCTAAAAACAGACTTTCCTCAGAGAAAATGATAAAGCCAGATGAAAAAGAAATCCTGACTCATATTGAGCCCTGGCTCAATTGAGTCAGAATATTGAGTGAGTCCTGTTTTACATGAAATATATTCAACTAACCCCCACTTTTAACAGCAGGGGTGGCAGGGGAGGGGGGTACACAGGGCTACAAAGGTTGGGAACCACTGCTACAGAGAATAGAGATGCACCGATATGATATTATTGACGAATGGGAGCAGACACAAATGGTTCTATAATAACCTCGTCTGTATCCATAGCCTCTCAAAGGTATCTGCACATGTGTGGTCTGTGGCAGGTGCTGCAGATGTACCTGCCCTTCTGTGGCATCTCCATCTCCAACGCCAAACTCTTCTCTGAGTCTCGGAAGGAGTACGAGCGCAGCAGGGTGAGGCATTGGCAGTGGGGTTGCGTCTCAGTGTGGTTGCGTCTCAGTGTGGTTGTTTCTCAGTGTGGTTGTGTCTCAGTGTGGTTGTTTCTCACTGAGTCTCAGTGTGGTTGTGTCTCAGTGTGGTTGTTTCTCACTGAGTCTCTGTGTGGTTGTGTCTCAGTGTGGTTGTGTCTCAGTGGGGTTGCGTCTCAGTGTGGTTGCGTCTCAGTGTGGTTGTGTTTCAGTGTGGTTTGTTTCTCACTGAGTCTCAGTGTGGTTGTGTCTCTGTGTGGTTGTTTCTCAGTGTGGTTGTGTCTCAGTGTGGTTGTGTCTCAGTGTGGTTGTGTCTCAGTGTGGTTGTGTCTCGGTGTGGTTGTGTCTCAGTGTGGTTGTGTCTCAGCGTGGTTGTGTCACAGTGTGGTTGTGTCTCAGTGTGGTTGTTTCTCAGTGTGGTTGCGTCTCTGTGTGGTTGTGTCTCAGTGTGGTTGTGTCTCAGTGTGGTTGCGTCTCAGTGTGGTTGTGTCTCAGTGTGGTTGTGTCTCAGTGTGGTTGTGTCTCAGTGTGGTCGCGTCCTCAGTGTGGTTGTGTCTCAGTTTGGTTGTGTCTCAGTGTGGGTTGTGTCTCTGTGTGGTCGCGTCTCAGTGTGGTTGTGTCTCAGTTTGGTTGTGTGGTTTTGTGTGGTTTTGTCTCAGTGTGGTTGTGTCTCAGTGTGGTTTTGTCTCAGTGTGGTTGTGTCTCGGTGTGGTTGTGTCTCGGTGTGGTTTTGTCTCAGTGTGGTTGTGTCTCTGTGTGGTTTTGTCTCAGTGTGGTTGTGTCTCTGTGTGGTTTTGTCTCAGTGTGGTTGTGTCTCTGTGTGGTTGTTTCTCAGTGTGGTTTTGTCTCAGTGTGGTTGTGTCTCTGTGTGGTTTTGTCTCAGTGTGGTGGTGTGTGTCTCTGTGTGGTTGTTTCTCAGTGTGGTTTTGTCTCAGTGTGGTTGTGTCTCTGTGTGGTTTTGTCTCAGTGTGGTTGTGTCTCTGTGTGGTTGTTTCTCAGTGTGGTTGTGTCTCTGTGTGGTTTTGTCTCAGTGTGGTTGTGTCTCAGTGTGGTTTTGTCTCAGTGTGGTTATGTCTCTGTGTGGTTGTTTCTCAGTGTGGTTTTGTCTCAGTGTGGTTGTGTCTCTGTGTGGTTTTGTCTCAGTGTGGTTGTGTCTCTGTGTGGTTGTTTCTCAGTGTGGTTGTGTCTCTGTGTGGTTGTGTCTCTGTGTGGTTGTGTCTCTGTGTGGTTGCGTCTCAGTGTGGTTGTGTCTCAGTGTGGTTGTGTCTCTGTGTGGTTGTTTCTCAGTGTGGTTGTGTCTCTGTGTGGTTGTGTCTCTGTGTGGTTGTGTCTCTGTGTGGTTGCGTCTCAGTGTGGTTGTGTCTCAGTGTGGTTTTGTCTCAGTGTGGTTGTGTCTCTGTGTGGTTTTGTCTCAGTGTGGTTGTGTCTCTGTGTGGTTGTTTCTCAGTGTGGTTGTGTCTCTGTGTGGTTTTGTCTCAGTGTGGTTGTGTCTCAGTGTGGTTTTGTCTCAGTGTGGTTATGTCTCTGTGTGGTTGTTTCTCAGTGTGGTTTTGTCTCAGTGTGGTTGTGTCTCTGTGTGGTTTTGTCTCAGTGTGGTTGTGTCTCTGTGTGGTTGTTTCTCAGTGTGGTTGTGTCTCTGTGTGGTTGTGTCTCTGTGTGGTTGTGTCTCTGTGTGGTTGCGTCTCAGTGTGGTTGTGTCTCAGTGTGGTTGTGTCTCTGTGTGGTTGTGTCTCTGTGTGGTTGTGTCTCAGTGTGGTTGTGTCTCTGTGTGGTTGTGTCTCTGTGTGGTTGTTTCTCAGTGTGGTTGTGTCTCTGTGTGGTTTTGTCTCAGTGTGGTTGTGTCTCAGTGTGGTTTTGTCTCAGTGTGGTTGTGTCTCTGTGTGGTTTTGTCTCAGTGTGGTTGTGTCTCTGTGTGGTTGTTTCTCAGTGTGGTTTTGTCTCAGTGTGGTTGTGTCTCTGTGTGGTTTTGTCTCAGTGTGGTTGTGTCTCTGTGTGGTTGTTTCTCAGTGTGGTTGTGTCTCTGTGTGGTTGTGTCTCTGTGTGGTTGCGTCTCAGTGTGGTTGTGTCTCAGTGTGGTTGTGTCTCTGTGTGGTTGTTTCTCAGTGTGGTTGTGTCTCTGTGTGGTTGTTTCTCAGTGTGGTTGTGTCTCTGTGTGGTTGTGTCTCTGTGTGGTTGTTTCTCAGTGTGGTTGTTTCTCAGTGTGGTTGTTTCTCAGTGTGGTTGTTTCTCAGTGTGGTTGTGTCTCAGTGTAGTCTCTGTGCAGGCACTGCTGGAGGTGGTCAATGACCTGTTTGAGGAGCAGACAGACCTGGAGAAGATTGTGCGTAAGATCATGCAGCGAGCGCTCACTCTGCTGCAGTGTGAGCGCTGCTCTGTGCTCCTGCTGGAGGACATCGACTCTCCAGTGAGACATCTTTATCATTCACCTCCAAATACAACATTCCACAGAATACAAAACACCATCGGACTTTTCACTTGCAGGTCGTGAAGTTTTCCAAGACCTTTGAGCTCATGTCTCCATTTTGTAACGTTGATCGCGACATCAGGTATTTACTTCAAGACTGTTCCTTTAACCTTTAGTGTCTTTCCACTTGGATGTTTTAATTTGATCCTTTATCCTGTGACTGGCCCCTGTCCTCAGCATGGAGAAGCTCTCCTGCTCTGATTGGCTGATCAATAACAGTATTGCTGAGCTGGTGGCGTCCACAGGACTCCCGGTGAACATCAGCGACGTGTGTCAGGACCCACGCTTCGACGCAGAGGTGCAACTCTTTTAGATTAGATACTATTCAACACGTCATTTGCAAAAACAGACATCTCTGTTTGAAAAATATGTTATCCATAAGCTACAATCTTCAACATGTTTATTATTGGTGGTAAATTTTAAAAGATTCTCTCAAGATAGGGTGAAACTTTATCTGTATGGGACTGAAATAGATCTTGGTAAAGGGCAAATTATAAAACTGTTAAATATTTTTCCAATGACACTTATCTGTCACGAATAAAACAAAGAAGGACCCAAAAGCAGAACTGCAAAAATAATATAATTTAATAAATGTCACAAGAAAATAAAAAAGTAAAAACTGACAGCTGGGGCACTGGACCAACAACTAGATGACAGGAGCACAGGGTCTGAATACACACAGAGAGACACAGGTGTAACACCTCAGGGCGGGGCGAACACAGGACACACAGGAAGTAAAACTCAGCACAAACAAGAGCACAAATATACATAAAAAATTAAGATTAAATAAGAGAAAGTCCATGATATTTTCTGTTTTGCTATTGAATTGTTGATTTCTTTTATTAAATCCATCCTCAAAGTGCTGCCTCATAATATTTCCTTAAACATTAGAGCAGTATCTTTGTTGGCCTTTACCGTACACTAAATATAAATACGATGCTGTTGACGTGGGACAACAGTTGTATGTGACAGTTTTCCATCTGCTCAGGCGGACCAGGCCTCTGGCTTTCACATCCGCTCTGTGCTGTGTGTTCCCATCTGGAATCGCACTCATCAGATCATCGGTAAGTCGGCCCAAACATCATTCACTGTGAGAAAACGCTGTGTTTGTGTAATCCTTTCCACATGTGACTGAAGGAGTTGCACAGATCCTCAACCGTTTGGACAGGAAGACGTTCAACGATGCCGACCAGAGGCTGTTTGAGGTCAGCGAGTCTTTTCACCACAAAAAACATCTTTTATTCAACTTCAATCAATCAACTTTTGTAGAGCGCCTTTCCTACACAAGGCAACACAAAGCGCTGCACAACCCATATCACATCAGGCATAAATCAGAAACACACATAATTAAGAAATACAATTAAAAACTAAATTAAGATCACAAGACGTATAATAATAAATACAAAAAAATCATACAAATAATTAAAAACCTTAAAACAGACATGTCATTGATACAATTGTTACTTTTAGAATGATCTGTCTATTTGTGTGGATGGATGTGTTTCTGCTACAACTGGACACTGAATTTCTCCTACGGGGATCAATAAAGTATCTATCTATCTATCCACAGTATATTTGTCAAACTCAGATTTGTGGGCTAAATCCGGCCCACAAGACAGTTTTAGTGGCCCCTTAAATGTTTTTCTAGTTATCAACTTGCAGCATTGATGATCATGGGCTACCAAGGCATGTGATGCATCATCTATATTCTCAGGACTTTTTTTTATGTTCCCAACACATCATTAGAAGTTCAATTGCTAATAAAAAAAAAAGTGTTTAACTTTATATTAGGTCTAGTTATCCAAACAATAAACACAATTTGTTTTCAGAAAAATCACCTGGAAAATAATAATGAAACTCATGTCACATTAAAGTCATGTTATAATACCTTAATAATGTAAAAAAAAAAAAAAAAAGAACAACGATAAGAAAATGAAATCCCAGGTATTCATTCGTCTTCCGACCAGTTTCTCTTGTTTATATTCGGCCCCTGACCAAACTGAGTTTGACGCCCCTGCTATAAACAGCCACAGTGCATTCAAAAAGAGTAAAGATCAGATTCATTTATTTTCCATTTGCAGTAAAACCACATTGGAATACAATTGCAAAAGTCCCCAGTGTGCACCAGACAAGTATATACGTAACTAAAACAGGGTTAAAAGTACAGAAAGTGATAAAGCTAAAATCCTTCTATAACTTCATTCTCTTCCTCTTTTTTCCCCCTAGGCCTTTGTTATATTTTGTGGACTTGGGATCAACAACACAATGATGTACAACCAAGTAAAGAAGACCTGGGCCAAACAGTCTGTGGCACTTGATGTGAGCCAAAGCTACACGTGGTTATTAAACTGATGAACATTTGGCACTTTAATGAGAGCTCAGCCTCACTGCCCACTATCTGACTCCAGCACCCGCTCTATCCCCAGTAAACATGTTTCTGCTTCTCTCCTATCAATATTTCACACTATTTTAATAATTCATAATGACGAGGAGTGTCAGACTGCACAGTGCACATCAAAGACAACACACACTCTACGCACAGTCTACACACACGCTACACAAACCAAAACTTTACCACAAATGGCTCAAAATGTACTGAGCTTTAATCTTGTGGTGGCTGTAATGATGGAAGCTTTCTCTGATCTATACATTTGTGTGTGTGTGTGTCTGTGTGTGTGTGTGTGTGTTTCTGCATATTTGTGGGTGCGTGTCTCTGCATGTTTGTTTGTGTGTGTTTCTGCGTGTTTGTGAGTATGTATATGGGTTTCTGTGCGTGTGTTTCTGCGTGTTTATGTGTATGTGTAAGTGTGTTTTGTGTATTTGATTGTGTGTGTGTGTGTGTGTGTGTGTGTGTTTCTGCATATTTGTGTGTGCGTGTTTCTGCGTGTTTTTGTTGTGTGTGTTTCTGTGTGTTTGTGAGTATGTATATGGGTTTCTGTGCGTGTGTTTCTGTGTGTTTGTGTGTATGTGCAAGTGTGTTATTGTGTATTTGTTTGTGTGTGTGTGTGTGTTTCTGCATGTTTGTATGTGTATGTGTTTTTTTGGGTGTTTTTTTATGTATGTATGTATATGTAAGTGTGTTTGTGCGATTTTGCTTGTGTGTGTGTGTGTTTCTGGGTGACTGTGTGTTTCTGGGTGTTTTTGTGTGTGTCTGGGTACGTGTGTTTCTGCATATTTGTATGTACGTGTATATGTGTATGCGTATGTGTGTGTCTGTGTATGTGTGTTTCTGCATATTTGTATGTACGTGTGTATGCATATCTGTGTTTCTGCGCGTGTGTGTGTACATGTATATGTGTTTCTGCATATTTTTGTGTCTGTGTGTGTGTGTTTCTGCATATTTGCTTTTTGTGTTCTTTTTGTGTACTTGTGTGTGTTTGCAGATGTTGTCGTACCATGCAACATGCTCCAAGGTGGAAGTGGACAGACTCAAGGTAAACAAAACATTACCATAGCAACGGAGACTTCTCTTTGTAAGCTTCAAACACATGACAAAAGAAGAGACAGTTTAGATCAGCCACAACCCGTTTATCCAATGTCATATGAAGGGTTGAATTGGTTAGCCATGCTTCTAGATTCATTTATATAAGTGTGTTTTTATTTCCACATTCTGTTTGTGTATAGTAATTATTGTTGTTTGACTTGTTGCCTTATGAGAGTACAGGTACTTTTACTTCAACACTTGGGCAAATTTCAGTGTTACATCAGCAGCACAACAATAGTTCAATACAAAAATAAAATCTCAAACTTTAATGTAATAAAGAAGCAAGAATTAAGTTTAAAATCTTGTTCTTGTTCTTTTTGTGACAAGAGCAAAGTTGTGAATAGTTAGTTGAGGTGTGGACTGACTGCAGTGGCGTCTCTCTTCCTCTAGGCGGCGAAGATTCCCCTGAGCTGTGAGCTGGGCATCGACGAGTTTCACTTCAACGACTTCTCACTGGACAATGACGCCATGATCACGGCCTCGCTGCGCATGTTTCTGGAGCTGGGTGTGGTCCAGAAGTTTAAAATAGATTATGAGGTGAGAACAGAAGCTTCAGGCAGATTGGATATTTGTAGAAATGAAATGGAAAAACATAATTATGACAAGAAAACCCCAAGTACCGCTTGTAGTTACTGGTGCTGCTTTTGAGATGCAGAGGTTTGTATTGTTCCCTCACTGCAAAAAATTATCAAATATGAGGTAATAATTGCTTGTTTTCTTATCTTAATTTCTTATAATAAGATTTGCCAATGGGACAAAGCCATTTAGTCTTAAATCAAGAACTGTTGCTTTATTTTCTCATTCCAAGAGAGATCTATATATCTACAAGTTGATTCATTTTGCTTAATGGCTGTTTCGTTGAGTTAATCCGGTTAAACGCTTTTTCTCAAAACAAGTCGTATCATTAATATATAAAATCCTGAGATGTTTTTTCCTGGTAAAAAAATAATAAAAACTTTTAACTTGCTTTAACTTGTGGAGGTTTGAAATGCAGATCCACATTGTTTAAACCAGAAGAAAAGGACACTTCTTATTTGCATCAGAAGAGTGGGGTGGGGGGGTGCCTCAGTGGGCCTCCTTCAAACCGATTCCAAACCCACGTCTGCAAAATGTTGACTAGAAGCGGAGAATGTGAAGACCAAGGCCAAGTTTCTTTGTGTTATTATTCACTCAAATTTAGAAAGAAATACAACAAACTCAACTCCTCCCTCTAGTGGGAGCATAGGGAGTTACAGACGGAAAGCATTTTTTACCTTTGTTATCTGTTTCATCATATATTTTCAATTCAATATATAATTTCACATTGTAAAACATGAAATGACAAAGTAAGTAGTTTTAACTTGAATTTGAATGCCCAAAAATAGTGCATGATATTAATTTTTTAACCATATAGACAACACGGTATCTCCGCATGGAATTTATGGTAACACTTTAGATTTAGCAGCTAATTTAGTGCTAATTGGTGTACCCAAACCCCTTAACCCCACTAACTCTAACCTTAACCCTAGCCCTAACCCTAAGTCTAACCCACATGAGAAAGTGTCAGTTATTAATTATTTATATGTTGAATAAGGCCATGCAGAATAAGGAATAATGAGTGCTTAATAAATACCAATTAAGAACTAAATAACCATCAATTATACACTAATCAGCACTTAAATTGCTGTCAATTAATGATGACTAAACTAAAGTGTGACCGAAATGATTTGCGCCACACTGATTAGTGTGCACCTGTTCAACCAAAACTCTCCATATTCCAGATTATTGTTTTTTATTGTGGTAAAGATGCTGTTTGTGTCTTGAAGGTTTTATGCCGATGGCTTCTGACGGTGAGAAAGAACTACCGCACAGTGGCCTATCACAACTGGAGACACGCCTTCAATGTGTCCCAATGCATGTTTCTCATCATCACCGTAAGCGACAATTTACACTATTATTATGTTGTGCCACCTGTGTGTGAAAGCCTGATCCTGGCCGATTTCAGGAGCTAAGCAGGGAAGGGGATGGTTAGCACTGAGATGGGAGACCTCTGGGAACAGCTGCCACAGTAGCGTGGGCGGCTGTGGCTGGATTTAGGCAAGACGCTTTCGACAACACTGCCCAGTATGAGTCTGATGTGTTTGTGAATGGTTGATAGTGGTCAGAGGGGCTGATGGCACATGCTGATTTATGCAGCAAAAATTTTGAATAGTCTTCCTGAAAATGTGAGACAGGCTTCTATTCTGACAATGTTCAAATCTATATTCACTATTTTTTAATGTGCTGTGATTATTTATGAGTGAATGCCTTGTGTGATTGTTTCTATCTTGTTTTGTTAAGCCCTTTGAGTTGCCTTGTGGAGAAACTCTACTATACAAATACATCTCCCTTGCCTTGCCATAATGGTTGCATGACTTCTGTCAGTGTGCCTCGGGGCGGTTGTGGCTACAGTACAGTATTATATCACCACAGTGTATGGAGTGAAAGAATGGTGCCATGTGAAGTGTCTTTGAGTGTCCAAAAAACACTATATAAAATAGCAGTATTTCTTATTATCATCCTTATTATCAATATTGAGTGAATGTTTTTTTTTTAACCGACAGGACATGTATAATTAGGACTTTTCACAGCTACAATCTGACAGAATTGGCTCAGTGCGATGTGACAGATGTACTTTACAGAGCTATAGGGGCTGGGGACGCTCCTGACAGCTGTCCTCACTTTGATCTGTTTCCAAATATGCTCTTTTTAAGTCAATGTAAAGCATAGTAATAATTAATTGGGTCTTAATTAAAGCATGTGTTGCTTTTGTAAATAGAGGCTTATCGAAGGATTACAGAGGGTCTTATTGTTGATGTTATTGTGACTAACGATGCTTTAATTGCCCTCTGCAGACGGCCAGCTTCCAGGACGTGTTGTCAGAAGCAGAGATCCTCGCTCTAATGGTCGGATGTTTGTGTCATGATTTGGACCACAGAGGCACAAACAACGCATTTCAAGCAAAGTAATTTCTCTCATATGCAAAAAAACAAATAATCTGTAGGAGAATGTACAGAAATATCCTGTATATGAAGTTTTTACCATGGCAACATGTTTTATGATTTAAGCAAAACTAAATAAGGCATGTGTTCATCTATGTGACTATACAAGACATACTTATGAATGAGCTTTGAAGCATGGCTGACCACTTGAAACATGCATTCATGATTTTAGACACATGTATTCATGTTTCTAAACCTGTGATGAACTAAGAAGCATGGCAAACGTATTCCAACCTCTATTTGACTTAGAAAAAATGGCTAACCACTTCAAACCAGTATCAATTATTTTAGAATCATGGCTAACTATTTCACACTTGCATTATTGACTTTAGAAGCATGGCCATCCCTGCATAGGAAAGGTACACTGACATGATTGTAATCTGACTCCTTGACGGCGGTGTTGTACCCGAGAATAGAATTATCCATTGCATTTTTAGGACAATTTCCATCCTTTACAGCCCGGTCCAGAAATGTTCCATACATTTCAACAGTGGAAATACAGTAGGTGTCACTGTTGATATTTACAGTTGTTTGGAAAGCCAAATCCTGTCAAACCTGTGAGGCTGTGCAGGGCAGGGCCTGGTTAGTAGTGTGACGGGAGACCTCTGGGAACACCATGGGACACATTGGGGTGTATGTGACTGTAAAGTGTCAATCTGTCCATTTCAGAAGCATGGTTAACCAATTCAAAAGTGTATGAAGGACGCATGGCTGACCACTTTATACCATTATTATTGTCCATTTCTTCATTTGCACTTTGTTTCATCTTGTCTTTTGTAAAGAGAGTTCTGTTCTGAGAATCTTCATGTGTGCTTAAAAGTTTAAAGCAAGAAGCAACCATAGAAAAAGCAGAAAGAAGACTAAGCTCTGGTGGTTGTGTTTGCAGGACCGGCTCTGCTCTGGCCCTGTTATACGGGACCTCTGCCACTTTAGAGCACCACCACTTCAACCACGCCGTCATGATCCTGCAAAGTGAGGTACACGCCCTTTATGATAAAAGACACGCATCATGATCAATAACTATTTCTATTTTGGAGTCTTAAAAATCCTTTGGGCTCAACTAGCCTGGTCATTCGTGGACAGATCTGTTTTCTGCCTTTTAAAACTCAACTAAAGTGTTGGATTTAATTTATAAAGTTAAGTAACCTTAAGCACCCTTTTCCACACAAATCTGTCCTGTCTGATTTACTAGATACAGTCAATTAAGTCCAACACTTAATTGACTTAATTTAATTGACTTCTGTGAAGTAATGCCTCTAAATGAGACAGACAAAGCACTTCTACCACTAGATGGTAGTGTTGCTCATTCTGACTATACATTATTCAAGAACATTATATCTAAACTGGCGATCGCGCATGTCCTAACGAAGGCCCGTGGGCCAAATGTGTCCCTCTGGGTCATCGTGTGGCCATCTGCCACTAAGTAGTAGCCATCGAGGTACTTGCACAGTGTCATTCAGCTAACTTCAGTTCCACCAATGCAGTCATGCTGTACCTCGTTGTAAATTCTGGATCATATAATCGTGCATAATGTGTGTGTTGGTCCAGTTCCTCGGTCCCTGTGGGTTCAGAACGTTGGCCGTAGTACAGCAGTGTCCAGTCTTTGATCATGGGGACATTGATTTCTGTTACTAACGGACAGAGGCCAAAGCTAATTAATATGCTAATTGGTTCTGTGTCTGACAGTGAAAAATGGCTTCAGCTTAGAGCTATCTGACCACAGTTTCTACTCACTGTATTCTGTTTTTTTAGGGTCACAACATCTTTGCAAACCTCTGCTCCAAAGAGTACAGCAACATGATGCAACTGCTGAAGCAGGCCATTCTCTCCACTGACCTCACACTTCACTTCGAGTGAGTTTGTCCTTCTTTTTATGTACAGCTTTCAAGCATTTAGCACAGTCAGCTAAAATATTAGGATTTATGACTGGTGTAAATACTGCATGTGTTCAATTATTTGAAGATCTTGAGACATGAGGATGAGGAATTCCCGATTTTTTAAATTTCATATGGATTTTGGAAAAAAAGTGTTTAAATGCTGGTGAGTTTAGCTGACTTTTAAGCAAAAGTGGCAAGTATTTAAGTATTGTACTTAATTAAGCAAAGATTTTCTCCTGGTAGTACTTTACACCTTTCTTTTAATTACTTATATAATGCTAAGCAGGGCAGTGCCTGGTTAATCCTTTGATGGTTGCCTCGCTTCTCTGAGTGGGCCCCAGGGCAGCTGTGGCTACAGTAGTTATCACCCGAGTGTATGGAAAAAAGTTCTATATAAAACCAATGCATTTTTATTTAGTATTATTAGTAATATCTTTTTACTTTCACTCCTCACTTTTAAACCTGCACATCTGGACTTTCTACTCTACATTTTATAATGACTAGTTTTGTTTTGGCATAAAAAGAGGAGTAATAAGTTAGCAGCGCTTCTAAGACTTCTAACTTAATTTAAGTACGGGAAATATTTCACTACTTTTACTTTAACCACATACTTTAATACTAGTATTTGTACTTTTACGTCTTGTGAAAGAAAAATGTTGAACAATTCATCTTGTTAGAAAAGATGTTATATTTGGAACATAGTGAGAAAAAAGCCTTTTGAGTCATTACTTGAAGCTCTGAGAGTCAGAGTGATGATGATTGCCTCTTTTTCACTTTTCTGATGAGCTTAAGATGTGACAAAGGCCAATACATGCCTGTGAAAACTGTCTCAGATCCAGGAACTCCGCATACTGTAGTGCACTGCTAGACTTGTGGTTTGAAAGTTAGGTACATCAGCTTTAATACATCTTTGATTTGCAGACGCAGGACACAGTTCTTTGAGCGTGTTCTCTCTGGAGACTTCAGCTGGACAGACGACGGACACAGAGAGGTCCTCAGGTATTCATAAATCCCTTTATAACAATATTTTAAAAAGCAGAATGAGATACTGGTGTGTTGTGTCCTGCAGATCCATGCTGATGACCGCCTGTGACCTGGGCGCGGTCACTCGGCCCTGGAAGGTTTCCAAACAGGTTCGACCCTCACTGCTCTGTCTGACTTCATGTCTACTTTAGGAGGGTTCATTTTGTCTTCTTTGTAGATCAAGTTATTTGGTTTATACAAGGTAATAGATTCAAGATTCAAGAATTTAGTTCCCATTTGCAGTGCAAGACGACCCCAGTGTGAACCAGATGGTACACACCAGAGCTCTTGCCACGGTGTCTTTTTTCCCGCGCCATGCGAAAAATGATCATAATAATGATAATAACCGCTTTCTTACATTTGTAAAAGAAAATACATAAAAGAATCCTAGGTCTTCATATCTGTGTGACTTACGGTGAGAACTGTCCTCCCCAGTACATGTTCCAAGGGCTGGAACATTCTATACAGACAAACTGTTCAAAGAGCTCAAAAAAAGCTTGTGATCTATATTACGTTTTATATGTTTGTATGATGGTTGTGTGAAGCAGGTATTGTCAGATGTTTTCTATTTTTGAATTAAAACATAATTGCGCCGCTCTGGGGAGATCTCAACTGTTCAGTTCATACAAGGCAGAACAAGCAGCTTCACCATCAGAGAGAACAAACCTCATCCACAGCTACCACAAAAGACTCCTACTGTCAGAGATGCTATTGAGAACTGGGGGATGGAGACTTCTGATCAGGATTAGAACAGAAGTTTCTGTTTTCATTATCATTTGCAAACAGGAAACATGGTAATTTGGCCAGACATGGCTTCACACAACCACCAACAAAGACTGAAATAGACCTGTTTCTGTTCATGTAATCATTCATAATATTAGAAAAATGTCTGCCTGGGTGTGTAAACTTTCACGCACAAATGTAATATCCATACATTTCCACAACACAGGAAGTAGCCATCATTCCAATCAAATCCACTTTATGTATATAGCACATTTTATAAAACAAGTTTCCACTGCACAGAGAAAAAAAAGTAACAATACATAGATAAATATACACGTTTGCAAGCTTTATATGTATAAAAACAATAGAATAAGTAAAACATTATGATGAATATTGCCAGAAAGAGATATAAGTATAGATGAGATCCTCTGTGCCCCTCGTCTGTCCAGCTTAGAAAACGTTGTCCAGCTTCTGCAAATTTCTTCTAAATACTAAATTTCATCTTCATTCTAAAATCAAAAGCGGAGGTCCCTGGAACTCTGCTTGAGAAACGCTGATTTGGAGCAGGAGTGTTTGTCCTTGGGTAACTCAGGACCTTCGTTCCCACTCTGCAATAGACTGCTGTTTCCTGTCATCATAATTAAATCATGCTTTACTATGAGCCTGATTCGATGAGAGAGAAGCAACGACAGATGGAAGATCAGTTTGCATCTTTCAGACCCTTTAATGATGCTGAGGATGGGGGCGGATAATATAGTTATTGTTATTACGAGTTGTAATTTGCATAGGGGTGACCGTATTTTCAATATGATTATAGCAGATTTTTACAGTCGAGATCACAGGCTCAGACACACAGCAGCACAAGAAGCTTTTTCAGACAGAAAAGAGAGCGAGAGGATAGCACCTGATCAGCCCAAAGTGTCAAATAGTGACTCCCAGTGCTCTTTTTTTAAAAGTATGCCAAAAATGAAAGGTTTTATAACAAGATAAAGACAGCACTTTTACTTTTACAAGACTATTTCTGTTGGGACGAAGACATATGTTATTCATAATCAAAAGTTAGCAACCCCAGCTAACAGGTACAGATGTATGCACACTACTATACTGTATATTACTTGCTCTAGAATAAACAGTACTTTAAACTTGTTATGTTAAAGTCAGAGATTTTGTACTTAATTCTTGCTTCTTCACCATTCTAAAGTTGGATATTTTAGACGTCTTTCCTTATTATGCTAAAGAGATTTTATACTTGTTTAATTTCATGCTGTAGTTAGAGATTTTATTTTATTGTATATTTGTTTTTGTTTTTTGGTGCTGTGTGTTCCTCCTTCATACTGTTCTGTAACTTGTGATGCAACACAGAAATTTCCCCACTGTGGGACAAATAAAGGATCTATTCATCTTAATCTTTAATTAAATGACATTGCAAAGTCCAGAAAGTACAATAATAAAACAATAGCCAACTCAGGTTTCACATTTTATCTCTTGAATGTAATGATTGATGATTGACCCTGATGACTGTTGTAGAGAAAAGTATTTTTAGACCTTTTTCTCCCACGGTTCAGGTGGCAGAACTGGTGACGAGTGAGTTCTTTGAGCAAGGAGACCGCGAGAGATCCGAGCTGAAGCTGACGCCTGCGGTACCGCCACACGTTTCCTTCATTAAGCTAAATATTGACATGAAAAAACTCTAAATGACCATTTTTATTTCCATAGGCCATATTTGATCGCAACCGCAAAGATGAACTGCCCGTGCTGCAGCTGGAGTGGATCGACGGGATCTGCAAACCACTGTACCAGGTGAAAACAAGACTTACAAACAAGAGTTATTAAAATATCAGAATTATGCTACATTTGGTGATACAATGTTTGCTGTAGCAGTAGATCACAACCAGTAACAATATTTGGTTCAAGTTTGATATTTATGGTCATTGTTTCTGAAAAATGTAGCTTTTTATATTCAACATATTCACAGTTTTGAGAATTTAGTGGGACATATTAATCAAAACTTACTTTTTTTCGATGTTTTTTTTTTTTTTAACAATGTTACAACATCGTTCCTCATCAAAACCAACCAGTTGTTTTTAGATCCATTGACGCTAATATGAGGAACTTCTGGAACAAACCTATAGCTTCGTCCTTTAATGAGGTTGTTGTACCACTGTGACATCACGACCTTTGAAAAAGTATTGGACTTAAATTAGTATTGACAATTTCTGAGGAGAAATTACGTTCTTTACAATCACAAGTCTGCGTTTGCTGACGTGTTTGCTGTCATTTTAAAATTTGGAAAAAATCGAATCAAATTCAACTGCTCCCTCTGGTGGTGGTATAGGGGGTTACAGGCATAAAGCATTTTTACCTTTCATATTGGTTTCACCATATCTGTTCTACATGAGATAACATTTCACATTCTAAAACATGAATGCAGGAATTCCTTGTCGATGCAGGAGGGTCTTGTTGGACAGTTAGTGTCCAACAGAAAGGATTGGTGATGATCAGGACACTTTAGCATTCTACAACATGTATGGACATTTTCTTCTGTGTGTGCTTTATACATATTCTTCATGTGTTTTAACTGTTGATTCTCTGACCTGTGTTGGTGATTTCAATGGTTTTGTTAAGTCTCTGAAATGACTTCTGTTGTGACCTAGGGCTATACAAGAATAAATTGTATTGTATTGTATTGTAAAACATGAAAAAATAAGATGACACCCGCACAGTCTAACTTGGAAAAACACCAGTGATATATTCAAATAGCGACGTTTCGGCCACAGGCCTTCCTCAGGCAAAACATTCTAAAACATGAAATGACAAAGTAAATTGTCTAAATATAATCTTTTATTTGCCAAAAAAAATGCTTTCTTCAATTAATTTAGTGTTCCTTGTAGCACTATTCAGTTGGAAAAATGTGTTCGTATTGGAATCTTGCGCAGTTCTGATTGGTTCTTAACTTGGAGACATTTATTTTTTATTTTATAGAAATTGAGAAACCGAAGATCTAAGTTCCCTTTCAAAACGGTAGTTCTATGCTGGGTCAATGGAATGATACATAAACAAAGTATTTTTATTGTTTTAAATCTGAGTTGATTGGTACTTTAGAAAGTGACATCAACATGAGGATGCATATCAAATATTTGAACAATCCCAAGTTCTTAAATATTAACTCTCTTGGATCAAGTTAAAAAATAAAGCAGGTGTATTTTAATGAATTTGGATGCAGCCAATTTGTATGTCTGTGTGTCGTAGGCGCTGCTCAAACTCAACAGGAAATTACAGCCAATGGTTGACGGGATCGACACCAACCGCAAGAAGTGGGAGGAGCTGTGTTCGTCGTACCGCCAAGCACGCCGCGCCTCAACATCCAATCAGATCACAGAGAAAGGCGAGTGTCCCGGGATCAGCCAAGACGCCTCGAGTTCTGAAGCCAAAGACACTAAAGATGTGACAAAATCCTGATTCAAATTACTCCGAATATGAAAAACAGACTTTTTCAAAAGGCGGGTGATCATCTCTGCAGCTTCCCAAACGAGATAATGGGAAAACAAGCTAAAACAATCACTTTAGCTTCGTCCATGTGCCACTGTGCTTATAACTCAGGAGTGGGCTTTTCCTTTCCAGAGGTGGGGAGTTATTTTTCCGTACTGTAAATGTATTTATTGATTTAACAGGGACAATGGAGTCATAATTAGTTACAGCAAAAGACGCAACATACTTACAGAGTGTAAAGAAAATGCAAATTATTCCCAGCTGTCGTTGGTTGAGCTTTTTCCAACACATGGTTTATAGTTCTGTTATGCTTAATGCAAGAGGAGAGACTAAAACAATACTTCATTGTCGCTTATTAAGGATTAGATTGTTCAGCAAAAATGCCTGAGGGTCAACAACAAAAGATTTTAAGTACTTTATTTCCTGGATTGCAAATTGGATTACAAATACCTGCTTTATTTGATCTGTTTTATGAGAGAAGTATATTTTACACCCAATAGAAGATTTACTATAATAACTACAGCAACTAGTGCCTAATGCTTTACGTTGAATTATGAAGTTATTTGTGATTTTTTTTTCCATTAATTCTTATTTCATATTTTGACATTCATGTTTTGTTCTACCAATTACATGGAGCAGCGATTCTTCCCGAGTTATTTTTAGAGTGCCATGTGATCTGAGCATGATGCCCAACTCATCACCACTGAACAGTTTTAAACACTTTCCATCTAATCCAGTTATGATTTATATGTGTTTTAAAACCAGTACAAACAAACCAGAGTCTGGAATAATCATATTCAATTTATCTTGCTTTAAGCCCAATAAAATTTGGCAATGGGATGAGCAAAAATGTGTTTTTTAAGAGACAAGCAAATCCTCACTTCAAAGGAGAAATAAATGTGACTGTACTTTAAAGAAGATTTATTTTTTCTCGTCCCATTGACACCCATCAATCGATCCATCTATCCATTTTCTTCCGCTTTCGAAGGGGGGAAGGGGGAAGCAGTTCAGAGATGGCCAGACTTTCCTATCCAGCACTTCTTCCAGCTCATCTGGGGGAATCCTGAGACGTTCCCAGGCCAGCTGAGAGACACAGTCCAGTCTTGCCCATGATCTCCTCTCGTAGATCCGAGGCAAGAAAAAAAGATTCCCTTGCCACCTCGACTGGCTCCTCTCTTGATGTGGAGAAACAGCGGCTCTACTCCGAGCTCCTCACCCTATCTCTAAGGAAAGGTCCAGCCAGTCTGTGGAGGAAACTCATTTGCACAGCTACAATCCACGATCTCATGCTTTCATTGCAAGACTCTTTCTATTATTAATGAAAACAATATGTTAGGTACCCCATGTTTGGAATAATACTTAAGTCATTTCTTTTATTTATACTTCTCCTTGATGAATTTTTCTCTAAAGTAAAGGTTTAAGTACCCACCCATAGAGACATTTGTAGGAAAAACAATGTAAACCAAAGATGGTCATAGGTTTTACAGCACGAGCTGCTTCAAACACACACACTCACACTCACACACACACACACACACACACACATGCACTGATGCCTTTAAAACTGCAGGAGCCACTGTGATCAGCAGCCAACGTGAATGTATTCTTTCCTGCATGAAACACTGTTATAATGTCCACAGATTCTTACGGAGACTTTGCTACAGCACGTACATCTTCACTTAGAAGAAATGTTCATGTTTCGGTGGAAGCTTTGAGTATTGTTTCAGTATTGATTCATTGTGTGATTTGTTGCTTGTTGTAAAGTAACATTTGTCTTATGCTTTTGCAGTCGTATAATCAAACAGTACAGCTGTGCTCATAAGTTTACATTCCCTGGCAGAATTGGTTCTTTCTTTTAACACTTCAGAGACATGGAAAATAAATGATATGGGTATATGCGTTCAATAGTTATTTAAAGGGTCGACTTGTAATCCACAAAAATGTAATCCTTTTAATCAGTCTTTTGGGTAGTTTGTGATTTACATTATTATTTAAAGCTTAGAGTTGAGTAATTTGTATTTTTTGGACTGACGCTTCATTCTGACTACACAAAAACACAATAATTTTTCCCCAAAACCCGGGGGTGTGACACGGGCTGGGGGCTGGTGTGTCAAAATAACTCTGCATTTAACCCGCCTTGCCAAATTTTTTTGCTTTTTGCCATGACATGTAGAGCGGGAAGAGTCTGAACCAATATAAAGGTGCTATACAGTGTGTAGATCAAGATTACCCACTTTCAAATAAAACGGTAATTTAGGCAGCAAGTCATTTAGGCTTTTGCACATGCTAGGCCTACCCTTATTAAAGATTTCCTTGTTAAGAATAAGTTTGAAAGTTCTATTACTTCACATTAATGAGAGATTTGTCGCATGTTTGTTTTGTCTCATTCCTGTCTTCGCGGTGGTGAACAGCCGACATGGGTCTAAAAAACTCACCAACCTTTCCGTCTGTTGTCCCGGGTCGACGCGTCATTTCAGACCATGCTAGTTTGTAAACTTATGACCACAACTGCCTTTTTTTGTTGAAATACATGCAAGTATTACAGTAAACCCTCAGGAAAAAGATCATATGCAAAATCCCATCTGTTTTCAGAGGTCTTGTGGGTGTTTACTGTCCAATCCATGAGAAGGACAACACTATGAAGATGAGTTCTCACGACAACTATAGTTTCATGAGCATCTATCAGTGAATCAGAGCCTTTAAAGGAGAAGTATCATGCAAGATTGTCTTTTTTTGAGTGTCCTGGTGTGGTTTTCAGACACATCCTGGTTACATAAAGCTTCATCAATGATATATGTGGAAGTTCTACCACAAACAAAAAATATACAAAGACAGTGTCCCTCTAACCCTGGATGCTCAGAATCATAAAAACAAGCTTTGGTTCCAATTCAAAACCAGCCCGGTCCAAGTTCAGTTTGAGTCTTAAAGCTAGGGTACCTAACTTTCAATCCACTAAAATGAAAAAAACCCATGTAACTTGTTCCTGGCACGAAAACACTTCAGTTTTCGGATGTATATATTTTTGGCCTCTCCTTTTTGTCACCGTCTGCTTCATCCAACCCCTTTTCAACCCTGTATTATAGACATAAGAGAAATTGTGTTCTGCAGGTTTGAAATAAATAAAACTTAACTAACTAACTGACTTTTTTTGGACAGAAATGTGAAAAAGAGAACCATCCTAATTCAGCAATCAATTCAGGGCGCTTTCTAAATGTAGAATGAAAACAGCAGGTTGTGGTCTGATATATTCACCAACATTTTTTGACGACAGTCAAAAAAGCTACTTGCTCAGCAACTGAGCAACTTGGGCAGTAATATCGCTCATTACTAAGATCCTTTCCTTATCCATGTCACTTGTTTACGTAGATACAGAATATTCTACATGTTTCAGAATGTAAACTTTTCTCCAGATCATTATCAAGTGACATTAATAATGCATCATACGTCTCCTTTAAACACTGAATGATGTTTTTTTTTTGCTCTTGTGGCATGCGGCGTCTGTTTACTGGTCAAATGCATGTAAGTTGTAAGAGGTGTTTTGTTGTAGTTTCTGGACAGCGATGCCTTGAAAGCCATAATGAGATTTGCCCTGCATGAAACATCTATTTTGTGAGTTGAGGAATTCTTTGTTGCTGCGTAGATGTAAAAAGAAAACAATATTTTGAATTTACAGAAATTACTAATCTATTATTTTCGGATGTAATGAATATGGTACAAAAGCACAAGTGGCATTTTTCTTGCTACTTATAAACTATACATGAACTACAACGCAACGATAAGCTTTATGTTTTGTGAATAAAAAAGCTTTTGGCATGGAAATCAGATGCTGTCTTTCTTTCATCAATCATGACATTATTGACTTTGACCCCGGGAGCTTATGAGGTCCTAGTTACTTTTAAAATGCACTGAGACATGAGAAGTTAGTATAAGCTTAAACTACACTGGAAACAATTTCATTATAATGTCACACTTTTGCTTTCTTGTGAACAGTTCATGAATGAATAAACAGTTTAAACAATACAAAAACTTAAACTTAATTTGGAATATTAAAAAAAAGTACAATTATTTCATAGTTTTTGTTACAATTAATAAAACACCTGTATTTCAGACACTAAAATGATAAACATGTCTTATTTGGAGAAAAAAAAACACGTATTGAAACAATTATTCATTGAGAGATTTCAGGGATGAAGTATAATTTTAGAATTTCTGGCCGAAAAAATTGTGTATTTTGCGTTTTAGTTGAAACACTGAATTATGTTTAAGGGGCTGTGGAAAGAACATAAGTCAATAGTCATTCAAAACCCCGGCATACGCACACATGTAACATGATTTGTTTTATGGGTCGTAAAGTGTTATGTTAATATTGTATTCTAGCAAAATGGAGAAAAAAAACACAAGACTTCTGACAAAACTGACTCTTGATACATTCACAGCTTCCCTTTGAAATCCTGTATTTATGAGCGCAGTGTTTGATGTTGTAATAAAGCAGCAGAAAGGTGAGGCAACCGCAGCAGTAGCACTGTTGTCTGCTGGTGCCAGAGCCAGAGACAGAGCTGGGCCTTAATCTATAATTTAACACGGGTTTGGACCGGGCTGGCTCTCCACAGGGCTGTGTGTGGAAGGAGGAGGACTCATGGCTTTCATCTATATATAAAGCACATATACACTCAATGCTATCCACCATTCACTGTGATAGGAGCAGGGCCGGCTCTGGGTGATTGGTGGCCCTGAACTAGATTGTGGTTGTGGTCCCCAGTGATACATAACAAAAATAATAACATTAAATTATACAGCTGTAGGATGAGACAACTTTGTTATTTTGGATGTTTTATTCTAACAGCTATTTTACACAGGAGGCGTTACAGCACGTACGCATTATATGCGCAGCAGACGCGCGTAAAATTTTTCCACGTTAACCATCATACGTGTCATACGCACGTATGACGCTAGGCTGCGCCTAATTTATG